GCAGAGAGAGAGAGAGAGAGAGAGATCTGGACAAGTCTCGTGACCACAAATGTGTGCCCCTATTGTTTGACGGTTTTCAGTTGTGCCAAGACGGCTCAGAGACACCTTCTCCTGGGAGTTGCCAGAGGGGGGCGATGCATCGAGAGGTCGCGTTTTTATGGGGGCCGCCTTCATCCCGATCGAGTCGACTGCCATATCTGTGATCATAGGGCCCAGACCTTTGAGCTTTTGCAGAAGCATCTCCATACGCACGCACCCCCCTTCACGATTCTTGCGGACCTCGCCCCGACACGCAGAGAACGATGGTATCGGAGCCGCCATGTCCTTCCACGCGACCCCGAGCTGGGGCCTGAAGCGGCGCGGCGACGCCAGTGCAGCCGCGGACGCACCGCCCAGCAAGAAGCAGACTTCGGAGCTCCTGGCAGCAGGAGAGGACGTCAGCACGGTCGCGACGTTGCCTGTGGTCCCTACGAAGGTGTCGCGCACGAGCGCCGCAGACATCCGGGACATCGCGGGAATGCTGTGGAACACCACTGTAGTGGACGTCAAGGGCAGCGTCGCCAAGCACATGCTCGAGCAAGGTTGCGTTTACCACGAGGCAGCCACGACCGCCAAGAACGACCCGGCCGCTCTCGAGGCCCTGGGGCCACCTTACGCGCACGTCTTCGCAGGGCTCATGCAGGGCGTCGCGGAGTACCAATGAAGGTGCCGCCTGCTTCTTTCTGGGAGGAACAGGTAGTCAATGAGGGCAGGACACCGACGGATCTCCTCGGCGAAGTGTTGTACTGCAAGTGCAAGCCCGCCAAGCCGAAGGAGGGCAAGCCAGGCCCTGCGAAGGTCACGCTCGCCATGAGCGCCGAGTACGCCACCTTGCAGAGCTGCCTGGTCAAGGCAATGACGACGAACGGAGGGGTTCTCAAGCACGGGCCCGCGCCCAGCGGCCCGCTCGGGAGGGCGGCGCAGGAGCTTCTCGAGGAACTCGAGGTTGGCACATCCAAGAAGGACAAGGGCAAGGGGAACATCAAATGAGTGCGCCTACAGACGGTGGGGTTCGCTTGACTGCTATTCAACGGGTGCAGAATGGACAGTTTTCGCATCGTCTACTGCAATTGGTGGAGAAAGGTCAAGTGACTTTGGACGCGGCTCTGAGGCACCCTGGCGTTGCTTCTTCTAGTCTCGTTCTGCAGCCTCCAATTCGGAGGCAGAGGGGGAGGGTGACCGACCGAAGGAGTGTCGTCGAAGTCGTCGAGCCTGTCGCTGTCGCCGTTGAGTCGGTCGTGTAACGCAACGGTCACACCCCATCGAGTAGCCCTCAGCAGCCTGGTGTCAGGCGTGCGGGGGCTTAGCGTTCAATCTTCACGTTTACACTTTCACAATGGGGAGTTGGTTGCCGTGCCCTCGCCGCCTCCCGGCCCTGGACTGCGGGACTGTGTTCGTGCACCCGCAATCCTTGGGCCAAGAGCGACGCGTGGTGGGCGTAACTAGCTACTCACGGGAACATTCTCTGTGGTTTGTGGTGGTGCGGGGGGGTCCGTCGGCTTACTCGGCCAGAGACGGTACTCCAGACCGCCCGTGCAGTGCTCCTGCTTGCACGGCGGCCACGTAAATACCTTGGCAGATCCTCAGGGCGTATAAGCAAGCAGTTTCGAATTATAAACAGGCGAAATTCGCCAGGAGTGGCCCAGGCTTTTCACACAGACGAGCTGATTGAACTGCCCCCAGAGCTCGACTGCGATTCCTCCTCCTCCTCCTCCTCCTCCTCCGTCGATCGCCTCCACTCTAGGAGGAGGAGGAGGAGGAGGAGGAGGAGGAGGAGGAGGAGGAGGAGGGGGAGGAGGATGAGGAGGAAAAGGAGGAGGAGGAGGAGGAGGAGGAGGAGGAGGAGGAGGACGGAGGAGGGTGTAGGTTTAGGTCGGCATCTTCTCGATAAACCTCAACTACCAGGTGATTTATTTTAAACGTGTATCAATTTTATGTAGCTGATTCTACCAGTGCGAGATATATGGTGGTACAGATCCTGTTGGGTAAAACCCGAGTGGGCGAGTCCTATTGACTTGACATGTCAATGTTTTTTGTCGTACCATCTTGAACTGTCTGTATTTTTCCAATCGAAATGCATATCGCGCGACCTATGGCATAATTTTTGGGGAATGCGAATGCTGGCAGAAGAGGGCGATGGGGCTCAGGTGAGCTGACTGTGGATCAGGAGGGGTTGTGACTTAGGAATTCGAACATAGGACTTAGGACCCAGGGCGGCCAGCGCTGCATGCGAGAGCTGCAGGTTGGATAGCATGGCTTCAAAACTCAGGGGGATGGGGGGGGGGCGCGGAGGGAGGGGGGTCGCGGGGGGGTCGCGGGGGGGTCGCGCGAGGGCTTTCGACGGTAGACGTGGGATTCTTTGGCGCGTAGCAAGGCGCAGTATTAATCCAGTCTAATACATTAAGGCGTGGGGCTCAAAGATGAAACTGCGCGACTCAAAGGTGCCCGGAAGTGCTCGGGAATGGTAGGATGGCTGCGGAACGATTACAGGGGGCAGGGCAGGCCAGGAGTGCTCTGGACTTGCAATTGCTCGGGGTCTGAAGCCTAGCAGCGCGCGCGATTTCTTGTGAATGCTTAGGGTATTCGTATGGTCTAGGAATCCTGCTGGTGTTTCGGGACTGCGGACTAGGGGCATTTATGAAGGTTCGGATGGGGGGGGGAGGGGGGGGGCGGGCGGCTTAGGGCCGAAGGCTTAGGGCGCAGGAGGGATAATGATTATTCTGTGCCTAAGACTTGGGACCTGGGACCAAGGATCTAAGATGGCTGATTGTTTGTTCGGAGCTTCGGGTGGCATCTAAGGCTCAAGGCTCAAGGCTGAGGGGGCGCGGGGGGAAGGGGCGGGCCGCGGGGGGCTGGGGCGCTCGCCCAGGAGGGCCGACGGAGGCCCGCGGCTCTGGAGCTAGGGTTGACGGCGCAGGGTTTAGCCGCTCAAGGCTCAGGAGATGGGCCCCTCATCCATTGGCCCTCAGCATTTAGACTAGACGTCCAGACTTGGAGCCTTGGACGGAAGAATTAAAGCATGTAGGCGCGGCGCGCTGGGCGCGACACATCAGGCGCGCGGCGTAGCTGGACGTGAAACGTAGGACTTAAGAGCTAGGAGCTAGGACTTCGGACCTGCGGACAGTTTGCGAGGGCCCAAAGTTGCTCGGGGCGGCGCGCGCTTCGCGAGCCCCGGAGCCCCGACGGCCTCGGCGCGCAGCCCGCATGGCGCCATCCCTTTGCGACCGCGCCCCCCCCTCCCCCACGCCGTGGCCCCCTCTCGGCCCGCCCGCCCCGCGTTGGCGCGCCTCTCGCGCGTCTCGCTGCCGCTCCGCCCCTTCTTTGGGGACCTGCTGGCATGCCCGCGCGGCGTCTGTCCGCCAATTTCGACGGCTCTCGCCCGTTGCTTGACCGCTGCGCCGCTGGCGCCCGCCTCCAGGCGCGCTGCCCTGGCCAGTCGAATACCAGAACAGATCGAACTAACAATTAAACAACTGTGCATCTAACCAACTGGGGCCCCGAGAACGCGCGGCGGGCGCGATTGCGCCGTGGCCGCGCAAAAGGAGAAGCCGGCGCATTCGATCTGCGCCTCTCGCGCGCGGGCGGGCGGGGGAGAGGCTTGGCGCGCGCGGGGAGGGGGGGGTGCTTAGCGCGCGCGCTGCGCGCGCCCCTCATGCCCCCCCGCCCCCCGCCCCCTCCCCCCCCCCCCCCCCCCCACCCCCCTCCCCTTTCACCCGCTCCCCCCCCCCCCCTTCCCCGCCAATCCCCCCCTCCTTCCTGCCGCGCCCCCCCAGACTTCTCCGCCCCCCGCGCCCGCCTTTTGCGATCTCGGGGCCTGCTCGCCGGCTCGGTCAGGGGTGGGGCACCCTTGCGCTGGCGCGTTGGGAAACGCATTGTCGTTTCACCGGTTTTGCTCAAAGTGTGCCAAAAATATATATCAAAATTCTATAGTCGTCTCACCGGTTTGATCAGATTGTATTAAGAATGTGTCAAAATTCGATAGTCCTTTCACCGATTTGTTAAAAATGTATCAAACATGTATCAACATTCTATTGAATTTCGATCAACCTTTCACCGGTTTATGCGCAATCCGATAAACGGTTTCACCGGTGCGGTCGGAAACCGATCAACGGTGTCGCTGGCTGGCGTAGTCAGCAAACGATCAGCGCTTGGGCCGGCGCGCTTGCCATCGCGTCGCTTGCCCTCCACCCCCCTTCACCGCGCCCCGCGCGTCGCGAGAACATCGGCGCGCCAGCGGCCCTCGGCCTTGCGCGCCGCGCCGCGCGCGCCCACTCCTCGCCCGCGCCGCGCGGTGCGCTTCGACATTCGCCCGGCGGACCGGGGCGCCCGTCGGCGCGGCCATTGCAAGAGAGGCGCGCGAAGACAATCTGAGCCCCTCTGCTTCGGCGAAGGAGCGCGGGGCCGCGACTGCCGCTGAGAAGCTGGCACCGTCGCGGAAACTCTCGAAGGCCAACTGGCGGCCGCGGGCGGCGAGCGGCCGCCGCTCGCCGAACGCTGCCAGCATCCCCCATGGCTGCCAGCTCCATTGCCCGCGGCGCATAACCCGTAGTTCCAGGACCCATAGCTCGTAGCTCATGACTGGTTGGCTGCTCCATTCGTTCATGCCTTAACTCATAGACTCATAGATGTGGTCCATATCGCCATTGTGCATAGCGCCCTAGTCCCTTGCCGCTAGCCCATAGCTGCCATAGCGCGCAACATGGCAGCGTTTACAATTCCCCCATGGAAGACTGATTCCTCGAGGAACGAATGGCGGCGAGTCTGGGGCGCAACTCCTGGAGGGCAAGACTGCGCTGAGCGCGCCGCCCGCGAGAAGTCGCAGCAGCGCGGGCGAGCACCGACGAACGCTTTCGCACTGCATCCACCGAAAGGGCTTCTTCCACGGCTACCAGCGCGACTTTTGGCCGTTGATGGCAGAGCGAGTGAAACAGTCCTTGTTGCTCGAGATGCAACTGAGAAAATTATGGCAGCGCGTCTGCGCCATCGCAGGCGAGGGGCGCGCCGTTCCTAGCATTGGAAGGCTTGGGCCTCGGGCTCTTCCCGCAGCGATCTTCCTGCCGCCGTGGGTGCGCAGCGGCAGCGGCGCCGCGCGCGCGACGGCTCGCGCGCAGGGACTTCTGCATCGAACCGCCTAGGGCCTAGGGCCTAGGCCCTACTCCCTATTCAGCCCTATTCAATTCTACTCCCTTCCCCTTCTCGGCCCCCCATTCCCCACTTTCTCTTCCCCCTTCACCCCTCAATGACCTCTCCTCCGTCCCGTCTCCCCCCCTTCCACCCCCTCCCCTCTCTTTGTTCCTGCTTTCCTTTTTCTGCTCTTCCCTCCTGCCTCCCCACCCCCCAAGATGCAATCCGACGGCGTTTGTCGACGTCGTGGATATGGTCGTCGTCGTTGTCGTTCTCGTGCTCGTCGTCATCATCGTCGTCGTGTTCGTCGTCGCCGTCGCCGTCGCCGTCGCCGTCGCTGCCGTCTCCGTCGCCGTCACCTTCGCCGTCGTCGCCGTCGTCGTCGCCGCCTCCGTCGTCGCTGTCGTCGCCGTCGCCGTCGTTGTCGCCGATGTTGTCGTCGCCGTCGTCGTCGATCGTCGATCGTCGCCGTCGTCTTCAGTGCCATCGGAAGGCAAATTTACGTTTATGGCGCGCACGTGGCGCTGTTTTTGCGAAACCGACGTAGCGCTCGATAGGGGCAACAATCGATCGATCGATGCGCGAGCTCACCCTGAAATGGTTTAGTGGTTTTGCCAACCGCATGAAACACATCGTTAGGTTTGCCAACATCTAGAGAAACACGCAATAGCTCCCTACAGCAAGTAAAAACAACTCAACTACATTCGCCAACTCATTTTCGATTGCCCTGAAAAGCTCTATAGGTTCTGCCAATACGACGAAACATGTTCTATACATGCGCGAACAAATATTCAATCGAAATTAACGGGAAAATATAATCGTGGTGATCGAGAAGATGCCTACCTAAGTGTAGGTCGAGGAGGAGGGAAGCCGAGGAGGGAGGGATGCTTGAAGTGATACGGCTTGGGGGCGCCTTAATTCCTAATGGTGGGGCCAGAGGCGTGGTGCACCACCCGAGGACAAGACATGTCCTGCCTCAAGGGGAAAGGGAGGACGAGGGAGGGAGAAGGGGGGAGGACGAGGGAGGGAGGGGAGGGGGGAGGACGAGGGAGGAAGGGGAGGACGAGGGCGGGAGGGAGGTCGAGGAGGAGGAGGGAGGTCGAGGAGAGCGGCCGAGGAGGGAGATCGAACACAGGTGCCAAACGAGAGAACGGGGCGCCTCCTGCGGCGGCCGGGGAGCGCCGGCGGGCGCGTCCAGCAGCGCCATGGCGTCGCACTCGGCCTGCGCCCGCGGGCACGGGCGCCGCTCGCATCGCCTCGCCTCGCCGTCGTCGCCGCCGTCGCCGCCAGCGCCGATGTCGCCGTCACCGTCGCCGTCACCGTCGCCGTCGCCGTCGCCGTCGTCGCCGTCGTCGCCGTCGTCGTCGTCGTCGCCGTCGTCGTCGTCGTCGTCGTCGTCGTCGCCGTCGATTTCTGTCGGTTTCCGCTGATTTTCGAACGCTCTTGGAGGTTCTCGTCGTCATCGTCGTCGTCGTCGTCGTCGTCCGTCGTCTGCTTTGACTTGCGGGCGAGGTGTCTGTTGTTTTTCTTGTGGTTGAGTTTGGTGTCATTATTTTCCTGGTCTTCATCGTGCTGCTACTGCTGCTGCTCCTCCTCCCCCTCTTGGGTACGGTCCCGAGCAAGGGGGGTGCCTGCGAGTGCCTCAGGAGACTGTCCTGCTGTGTCTCCACGGCGCCAAATTCTCTGCCTGGAATAGTGTTATGCCTGGCCGTCGTGTAGATGATCCGTTTGTGATATGCGTGGTGTGTTCTTTGTGTGCTCGTCATCCCTGCTCGCTATGCCAATTTTCATAAGCCACACTCCGGTATGCGAGTATGTTAAAAACGTATGTTCGGTATGTGTGATAGTCATGTAATCATGCCGATTCGCTTTCTTGGTTAAGTATGCTGGTCGCGTCTGATACATGCGTGTGGTTCTTATGTATGGTTTGGGTTGTACCATGTTCGAATCCATTATGGCGGCCTTTCTGTCTCCTATCCTGTGCCTTCTGTCATTACAATGTGCCGCAGCTTGCACCGTGGAGCAAACGGCCACAGATGCGGGCACTGAGCCGTTGGATCCCCTCGCCCGGCGCTGGCAAACGCAAGGGGCCAACTGGCTGCGGAAGGGCGCCGTCGTCTTCTGCAGCTGCGAGCTATCCGAGTCCCACGCGGTGGGGACGGGGGACCGGAGAGGATGAGGGAGAGGAGGAGGGGTGTTGGATCGGATCGAACTCGTGGAGCTGGAGCGTGACGTCGAAGCCATCGCGATTGCTGACTTGAAGCCGCTGCGCGGGAACTTCGAGTGGCGAGTGCGCTGGTGGCTGCCAACCTCGCAGGGCGGCGCTGACTCTCGGGCCGGGCGAGAAGGAGGAGGTGGGAGGCTTCGTCCAGGCCCCCAGCATCAGCCCGTCGTTATAGAGCCCGTCTCGCCCTCCTCTTCCTCGGCACTCCCCTCGTACGATGCAGTGCGATGCTACGCAATCACATGCTACGCTACGCTGCGTACTGTTATGACATGCCCTGGTCTGCCAGATAATCTCCGTCTCTTCATTTTGCACTTTTGTTTGGCTCCCATACGAATCAAGCTTTGCCTCAGGTGTCCTACCTCTTCTTTGCGAGGGATCCGATATTCATGGCTTGCGAGGGCCCGGGTTACTTGGCGCCAGCCCCCCTCCCAGGACTTTTCTCTCGGATCGTTTACCATGCGGGCCGCCTCGCTCCTACCTCCTTGGCGCTCGGGGTGCCGTCGGGGACTCGGGCTACAACACCAATGCATGCAATAGCCTGGCTTCACTTTTTTCGACTCGATCGGCCACGCGGCTGATTCACGAGGGAAACGGTTCGCAAACAGCGTGACCAATGTCAGTGAGTCGGTTCACGGCCTCACTGGGAGCTCCCGCGGCCAATTCGCGGCAAGATAGGTCGACACGCCGCCAGAGGGGGGGAGAAGAAGAATGGAGAGGAGTGAAGGGCTGGCGCGTGCGCAAACCAGCCTTTGGCCGGTATTCGCAGGGGGTCCCACACGAGCGTTCTAGAAGAGCGGGGGTAGTGATCAGTGGAAGGCTGTACTCGTTTCGGCAGGGCGCGTGCTGCAATGCCTGCCCGAACCCTGCCGCGCAGGGGCGTGAATGGCAGGGTGCGCACGCCTGTGGGCCGGGCGGCTTCCCAGAAACTACGCAAGAGAGGCGGCGAGGGGAGGATGGAGGCAATCGGGGGAAGGCCAGGAGCGCTGGCCACCCATGGAACTCGAGGCCAGGCCTCTAAGGCACGAAAAATGCCGTGCAGATGGAGAAGTAGACGCAGCAAGCCGCGTTGCTGAAGGTGGCGCCCCTGTGATCTCAGATGCCGGCGCTGAGGCGCGCCTGGCTCACGTAGATTCCCATGGCGCCGTGCAGGGTGCCATATATTGTCGATTGTTCTGATTGCTTTGCGATGGCGACTCGCTCCCTCTCGCATCCACTGCGCAACGGAGTCGTGGACGTCCGTGTCCTGGCTGAGCGCGGTGTGTCTGTAGTGGTTGGTGGCGTTGTCGATGGAGTAAAGCATCAAGGCTATGAGCGCGAACTTCTCTCACATGTGTAGGTGTTTACACTGTGCAGCACATGTATGTTTACGTGCGTGGATTCGCGTATTGTCAACCTGCGCTCCAACGCGTGCTTCGTCACAGGGCATCTTCAGACGTGCTCACTGGAGGCCTCGGCGGATCCACCACACACCACTCAGCAACGATTGTACGGTGAATGCCTCTGCTGGTATCGTCTGGGCGTGCATCACCTGGTCCATGTAAAGTGCTGGAAACTGCGCCGCATATCCGCGGAGGGGCCAGGGAGGCAAACAGTTGCAAGCTTGCCAAGGCCAGGAAGGCGTATTGCACCTGCAACTGGTGCCCGGGAGCGGCGGGTGCACGGCGGCATTCTAGAAGTCCCAGCGCGAGAACTCGTAACGGATGCGAGAGGTGGGGTGCGGAGCGTCGCGTGCGCGTACTTTTTTGAGCAGGCCCACCCCCGCCCTTCCCGGCCCCCGTTCTCCCCGAGAAAGGGCGAGCAACCGTTGAGTTTTTGCTCTTCACCCCCGCTCCCTTCCCCTGCGACGCAAGGGAGGGGGGGGGATAAACCGTCGTCGTCGTCGTCGTCGCCGCCGCCTCAGGAAGGAGGAGAGGAGCAGGGGGAGCAGAGGTCGAGGAGGGAGGGAGGAAAGGCGGGAGGGAGGAAGGGAGGGAGGGAGGGACGGAGGAGGCGGAGGAGGAGGCGGAGGAGGAGGAGGGAGGAGAAGGAGGAGAATGAGGAGGAAAGAGGAACAGGAGGAGGAACCCTTCCCCCGCGGTGCGCCTCGCCGCTCGGGTCCTCGCCGCTGCAGCGCCGGAAAGTGACGCTGCTGCCACCCGGGCCCTCCCGCCGGCGCCGGGGGCAGGGGGCAAGCAGAAGAGGCGGCGGGGCCGGCGAGAGGGAACACGGGAGCACGGGCTGGCCTGCCTCCTCCTCCTCCTCCTCCTCCTCCTCCCAGGAGGAGGAGGAGGAGGAGGGGACGACTCGGCTAAACGGAGAGAGTGCGAGAGAGGAGGAGGAGCGGAGGAGGAGAGGAGGAGGAGGAGGAGCAGGAGGAGGAGGAGGAGGAGAAGGAGCAGGAGGAGACGAGGAGCAGGAGGGTGGACGATTGGCTAAACGCAGAGAGTGCGAGAGGAGGAGCAGGAGGAGGAGGAGGAGGAGGGGAGGAGGAGGAGGAGGGAGGAGGAGGAGGAGGAGGAGGAGGAGGAGGAGGAGGAGAGGGAGGCGGATGAGGATGAGCTGAGGAGGAGGGAGGAGGAGGAGGAGGAAAAGGAAGGAGGAGGAAAAGGAGGAGGAGGAAAGGAGGAGGAGGAGTGAAGAGAGGAGGAGGAGGTGGAGGAGGAGGAGGAGGGAGGAGGAGGAGGAGGAGGAGGAGGAGGAGGAGGGAGGAGGAGGGGAGAGAGGAGGAAGGAAGGGGGGACGACTCGGCTTAGCGAAGAGAGTGCGAGGAGGAGGAGGAGAGGAGGAGGACGAGATTGAGGAGGAGGAGCAGGAGGAGGAGGAGGAGGAGGGGAGGAGGAGGGAGGAGGAGGAGGAGGAGGAGGGAGGAGGAGGGAGGAGGAGGAGGAGGAGAGGAGGAGGGAGGCGGACGAGGAGGAAAAGGATATGAGGAGGAGGAGGAGGAGGAAAAGATGAGGCTGAGGATGAGGAGGAGGAGGAGGAGGAGGAGGAGGAGGAGGCGGAGGAGGAGGAGGAGGAGACGACGATTTGTTAAGCGAAGAGTAGTGCAGAGGAGGAGGAGTAGCAGGAGGAGGAGGAGGAGAGGAGGAGGGAAGAGGAGGAGAAGGAGGAGGAGGAGGAGGAGGAAGCAGGAGCAGGAGGACGATTTGGTTCAGCCAGAGAGTGCGAGAGGAGGAGGAGGGATGAAGAGGAGGAGGCGGAGGAGGAGGAGTGTGGAGGGGGAGGAGGAGGAGGAGGAGGAAGAGGAGGAGGAGGGGGGGGGCGATTTGGCTAAACGCAGAGAGTGCGAGAGGAGGAGCAGGAGGAGGACGAGGAGGAGGAGGAGGAGGAGAAGGAGGAGGAGGAGGAAAAGGAGGAGGAGGAGGAGGAGGAGGAGGAGGGGAGACGATTTGGCTAAACGCAGAGAGAGAGAGAGAGAGAGAGAGAGAGAGAGAGAGAGAGAGAGAGTGCGAGAGGAGGAGCAGGAGGAGGAGGAAGAGGAAGAGGAGGAGGAGTAGTAGTAATAGTAGTAGTACGCAGCTGATGAGCAATGAATGTACTGTGCCGTGCAAACTCACGTGCCGTGGAAAAAATCGGACACAAGCACGCTACACGCGCCGCGCTGCTCGCACAGGGGGGCGGGACCGACCGAGGACCGACACGGGGCCCGACCGATGGGGACCGAAGGCGGGGGCGAACGAGGGCCCGAGCGTCCGCGAGGGAGAGGAGGCGAGAAGCAGGCGGGCGAGGGCCACTACGCACAAGTCAAAATCGCATAAGCTACTGCCCGCTGTCCGTGGCCTCAGACCACTACATCGTTACCCTGGTGCCGCGGCAGCACAGCCACGCTCGAAGGCGCGGCGCTGTGCGCGGCCACGCATCGATGGCCAGGTCCACGCCCAAGCTTCACACCTAGCGACCCGAGCATGCCGAACAGGTAGGCGCACGCCGCTGGTGATGGCAATGGTCCGTGGCTGCCCTCGCGCTAATACGTCGATCCACTCCGAGAGTTCTTTTCCCATATCCCCAGTCTGGTCGGTGACCATGAACACACTCTTGATCATGTTCGACTGGTAGCAATTCACGCGGCGGCAGAACATCACGAAGTCTGGCGGGTCGCCCACCATGGCCGCCGGCCACTCCACGAGTGTCTGCCAGTTGGCGCGCCCCACCTCCACCTTTGCCAAGCACTCGGCCATCGCGGCGTCACCCGCGTCCCTTGTCGCCTTTTCCTTGTCCTTGAACAGATTGACCTTGTCCCTCAGTGCCCGCGCGTTGAACGAGAACGTCTGGGCCTCCACCTGCCAGGCATTGGCATCCTCCATGCAGTCCTCCAAGATCACCGTCCTCATGCTCATGCCCCACACCGCGCGGCACCGCCGCGCACGTTGGGTGTCCCGTAGCCTCGACCCCAACGCTGGCACCACGTCCTGCTTGCTCCGAATCAGCGCATACTGCCGTGCTGCCGGCGACTGGTCCATGTACATGTCGTTCCTCTTGGGTACCACCACACCGTCCGCAGCGTAGGCCATATCCTTCGGCACCTGCAGCGGCTTGAAGCTATCGTCCATGGGCGCGCCCACGCAGGAGCCCACCATGAACTTGCAGAAGGTGATGGTCGTACACTCAGCGTTCTGTCTTCTCTCGAAGGCCGCCCACACGTGGACCACGTGATAGTTCTGCATGAGAGTCTCTGGCACCGACGTGTCGCCCTTGGGGCGTCCGCTGCCACTGCGAACGGCACACCTCGCATCGACCGCGTCGATACTCACAGTGAGGTTGCACCTGCGGGTCCTCGTCACGTTCGTGGCGTAGCGGATGTCCTCCTCATCCAGCTCCTTGATCAGGTGTGCCGTGTGCCCCGTCATGATCGCCCTACTCTCCAGCATCTCGAAGGCCGCACGATGGGACTCGGGCTCATTCTGCAACTCCTCCAGCAACTCTTCTCGCCCTTCACCAGTGAGAGTCGCCTGGCTGAGTTTGGTACGGTCCCACCTCTCACGCATGGGGGTGCTCTGGCCGTAGGAGCCCGCGAAGGTGGGGCCGCAGTCGTGGCACGTGTTGATCGCCATCCTTCCCACCGTGCAATGCCAGTCATGCGCCCGCCGCTGGTCGCACATGTCCGAATAGACTTCGGGGCTGCCCGCCTTGTTCGGCTTGGGGGGGAGCACCATCACCGCAATCATCACCTGCTCCGACTGGAAGCGCCAGATGCCCTTCCCCCCGACCCACGTCACGTTCAGCATGAAGGCACCTCCACACGCCTTCGTACCCTGCCGACTCCAGAGCCACCCGACCAGGATGGTGTGGTGGTACGTCGCCGTGTCCGCATGGTGGTACGCCGCCTGCCACGCGCGTGCCCTTGTCCCAGGCACACCGTTGATGCCCACGTTGCGCAGCACCGTCGAGACCCCGTCGTGGTGGTATTCCGTTACCAGCGAGTGGGGGTACGACGAGCCCAGGAAGCACCAGCGCAGGGCGCCGACGACTCCAGTCCACGTGGCCATGATCAGCTTCAGCATGGAGCCGCAGGCACAGCGCCCCACGGCGCGCATTGCGCGGCGCCTGAGCGGCAGCGTGCCGCCAGCCCCAGGTGGGGCGGCACACAGGGATCAAGGAAAAGGATGAGGGGGAGAGGAGGAGGTGGAGGAGGAGGAGGAGGTGGAGGAGGAGGAAAAGGAGGAGGAGGAGGAAGGGAGACGATTTGGCTAAACGCAGAGAGTGCGAGAAGAGGAGGAGGAGGAGGAGGAGGAAGAAAATGAGGAGGGGGAGGAGGAGGAAGAGGCAAAGGAGGAAGAGGCAAAGGATGATGAGGTGGAGGAGTAGGAGGAGGAGAGCAGGAGCAGGAGGAGGAGGAGGAGGTTGAGGAGGAGGAGGCGGAGGAAGAGGATGAGGAGGAGGAGGAGGAAAGGAGGGGGAGGAGGGGTTTGGGGAGGGGGTGGGGAAGGGGGTGAAGGCGAGGGGATGGAGGAGGATGAGTAGGAGGAAAATGGCAGACCCAAGACTCATCAACGATATTGAAATAACACTTCCTCAACATTCTCTGTTCACAGGCCCCTTCAGGATTCATTTTTGTTGGAGGAAACGGCTCCTTGGAAAATAGCCATTTAGAAATCCCGAACTGCGCCAAAACACCATGCCGGGGACTTTAGCTCCGCGAATCACCGAACCACCGCTACTGCTGCTTCTTGACGACCCCGAATCGCGCCACAACGCCGTTTCTGGGACTTCGAACGCCACGAATCAACGTAATTGTTGCGTCTTGACAATCCGAGTTTGTGCCAAACCGGTCGTCGGTCGTCGTCGTCGTCGTCGTCGAACGTGAGCCAATGTGGGCCCAAAACGTTAATCGATTGCAAGGTGGATGGATAATTATGAAGACTAACGATGTGCATGGCGCACGCTAAAGGCGGCAAGTAATTGGCAACGGGCGGCAACGTGGCGAAACCTCGCCGGACCCACCTGGCGCACGAGGCGGCCACGGGCGGCAACGTGGAACGTCTTCGCTGGCCCATTCAATTCCTGAGTGGCATTCGTGAGAAGCACTAATTGCAAACACTGTTTGGGAAAACGTAAGGACAAACTGCGGAAACCTCCCAAATGGCGCCCGTTTAGGTAGGATGCAGTGATTGCGCCGCATCACCGATACATCGCCGATGCATCGGCGACGTCGGCGTGGAGAAAATTGAGCTCCGCATCCAGCCAAATAGCCGATGCATTGGCGATGTGGCGCAATCCCCCGACCCCGTCTACTCGAACCCCATGTGGGAAGCCTGGGAGAAGAAGGAACGAAACACATGCTGGCGCAAGGCGTGCAAGAAGGACGGACACGAAGGCAGTACTAGGACGCGCCCGAGTCAGGGGCCCGTGGGCGGGGGACTTTCTGGTAAGCCACACGTTGGCGCAAGGAAAAAACTGCAGCCGTGGGTCGAGACATTCTCCGCTCTCCGCTCCCCGCTGTACATGGGATTCGCAAGAGGTCACGGCTTGCAGTGCCCTGGTTTCCGGGGCCCTAACACGCCTGCCATGAAGCCATCCCGAGCGGGCGAAGCTCTGGTCTGGCATGCGACAACCAAGTGTGGCGATTCCCCCTGACGACGCGACATGCAAGAGGGGGGAGAGGAGGAGACAGGAGGAAACAATACAAAAAAAAAACAAGAAGGACACATTAATCCACGTCGGAT